ACGATATAGTAATAGTTGGCGGTTTCGTGGAGGGTAAACTTGTGCATTTTGCTGACGCCTTCCTCTCCCACTTTGCTTACAAGTGCACCTCTATTGCGTTGCAGTGCCGTCGGAGAAGGACTCGCCGTGCGGTGGAAAGACTTGGACAGATCATAGTCGTCCTCATCATCCTCAACCTCTCTCTGCCCTGGCGCAAGAGGCGGCGACTCCGGAGGATTGTTGGACAGCTGAGGGTATTTCTGAGGAACTACCTTCTCTGTCTCGTCCGAATCTGACTTGTTGACTTCGAGGACTCGAGGGGTGTTGTTGTTGTTGTCAACATCAACGTCTTGTGCAGGTGTTTTGAGTCCACCGCCCTGCCCGTCTGTACCATCGGCGGAAGCATCATCAGTTGCATCTGCAGAGTCATCGCCAGATTTGACCAAGACCTGATTGGCGACGAACTCTCTGAAAGATTCCATAATTGAAAACCGCGTCTCACGTTGCCTGGGGTGGCAACCAACAACACCTGATCACCTCCATCGGCGACACTTGCTTTCTGAGTTGATGAATACTGTCACAGTAGTCAGCACATAAGGGTCGACATGATTGAGGCTGTGATAAGGGCTATAATGATGCAGCCTTTCCTTGTTGGAGATGGATATCCGACACGAATGCACCAAAGATGTCACCACCGTGATATTGTTTCCCATTTTGGTTTACTCTCGCCAAGTTCGCCAAGACTGATCCGGCCGAGGCTCGATTCGGGCTCGTCGTTAGTTTCACTTCTCCCCGCGTCTTTCTTCCAAGGTTGTGGCGCGTCTTACCCTAGGCGCCCCAGATCAAGTATAAAAATGTAACCAGTGGTACATTGGGCAGCTTGAGCCTCCGCTGCCTACCTAACTGCACAATCGAACTCCAAAAATGGCTCCCACCGCCCCAGCTCCTTTCTCCGAACCACTCCTCCCTCAGCTCGATCTCGGGGATCCGTATTACACGGAGAAACACCACCGCCTCCGTGCCTTTGTCCGCAACTACATTGAGACCGAGATCGCTCCCTATGCGCAAGAATGGGAAGAGGCAGGCCAGGTGCCGGAGCATGTCCGTCTACGATATTGCCAGCTCGGGTTCGCGGTCACGCATCCTGTCGTTGATCCCGCTGATGCGGGCGGTGTCCAACTGCCTGCCGGAATACCTTACGACGAATGGGATACGTGGTGCTCCGTTATCGTAACCGACGAGGTCAGCCGTCTGGGCTGGTGTGGTCCAATGTGGGGCATTTCAGGCGGCAACTCTATCGGTGCACCGCCTATTGCGCGCTATGGAACAAAAGAACAAAGACAAAGGTGGCTGCCGAAGATCGCCAGAGGAGAGCTCAGATTTTGTCTGGGCATCACCGAGCCAGACGGAGGGAGCGACGTCGCCAACATCAAAACCACCGCGGAGAGGAGGGGAGATCGTTATATCGTGAACGGCAATAAGAAATGGATCACCAACGCTCTCTGGTGCGACTATTGTACAGCTGCGGTGAGGACCGGTGGACCAGGCCATGGAGGGATCAGCCTGTTGGTTATCCCGCTCAAGGCAGAGGGCGTCACATTAAGAAGATTGGAGAATACAGGCGTCCACGCCAGCGGTATGACACTTGATCCTGTTTCTGACTACCAACCCACTCTAACATTCTTAGGATCAACCTACATCACTTTTGACGATGTCGAAGTACCCGCGGACCACCTCATTGGACGCGAAGGCGGCGGCTTCCCCATGATCATGTCTAACTTCAACCCAGAGCGTCTCTCTCTGGCTACTGCCTCACTCCGTCTCGCTCGGGTCTGCGCCCAAGATGCGTACAATTACGCCTGCGATCGCGAGACCTTTGGCAAGAAACTGATCGAGCATCCTCCCATCAAGGCAAAGATTGCCAAATTCGGACTCTTGATTGAACCCGCCCACGCATTCCTCGAGCAGCTGTGCTACATCATTGAAACTTCACGCGTGACAGGAAAGCCGGTCAATATCGGCGGCATGACAGCCTTGCTAAAGGTGATGAGCACAAGGTGCTTGGAAAAGGTGTGTCGAGAGGCACAGCAGATCATGGGTGGAGCCGGCTACTCAAAGACGGGGCGAGGTGCCCGGATCGAACAGATCAGTCGAGATGTGCGTGTTCACGTTGTCGGTGGTGGTAGTGAAGAAATCATGCTCGACCTGGCCGTCCGTCAAGAGGTCAAGGATGTCAAGCTGAGAGCTGCTAGGCTTGCGGGCGCGAAGCTGTAAAGGAGAGATTGTTGTGAGAATTGTACAGGTCATTGTTCATTTCACCTCATGCGAGCTCCCGCATGCCATGGCGATTAGTATAGAAGTCGACGCTGCTCGATTCCATGGTCCAGGTCCATTTAAAAGTCCATGCCACATAGCAATAGCGAGATTGTTATTGCAGTATTGATGCCATTGATGGAACGAGTCCAAGACTGCCTAGCAGCTTGTGGTGTTGCCTGCCCCGTCAATTGCTCTGGGTACTGCCTGACCGATATCCCTTCGCCTCGGCTCCTCGGTTGCCGCTACTGCTCGTTGAGCTTGGTTCGATGCGAGGCTGTACCACCGCCATCATTGGTTACGACCCCTGAGTATGAAAGAGGGTTCTGCTATTTTGGCTAGTTTCGAGATAGAACTCTTGCTGAGGTTCTTGCCGAGGCTGCTCTTGGAGGGTTTTTGCTAGGTGGTGTTCGTGGAAGTAATAAGGTACGTTGCACGTATCTTGTAATTTCTGGGATGTGTCTGAGTGCAGAGGAAACCGAGGCGAGCCGGAAGGAAATGAGAGGGAGGCGTTCCTCACACCTGCCGGAGATAGATCGGTGAGATAGAGGGGGAGTTCCGCCTTTGCCCAGCTCCGGGATGCCTCCCTGATTAGCCAGCCCGTTTTGTTGCGCAGCCTCAACCGAGACCCAATTCCGACTTTTTGCTCGAGATCATCTCAATTGCCTCTTCCCTCGTTCCGTTTGGATGGTTGAACTGCCAGCGTGCCAGTTCATCGACTGCGTTCTTGAGCCACGGACCTCCCTTTGGGTTGCCAAAAGCTTCTTTGATCTCGTTCCCCTTGAGGATCGGAGTGATGGCATGCGCGGCTTCGAGGTCTTGATCGTGCAGGTAAGCAGCGAACTTTTGATATCGGTCCGTCGCGGTCGAGAAACCTTGCTCCACAATGTCACATAGCAGTGAGAAGAGAACATGCGATCTCCACGCCTCTCGACACTGTCTCAGAGTCATGCCCATGTCACCCCGAACGGCTTTCTCGTCGTTCACTGCCTGCACCGCTTCGAGAATGGAGGTTCGTAGGTCGATGGCATCTTTCAGGACCTTGCTCATGCTATTGGTGGCCTTAATGCCTTCCCTGGAGGCTTGATATGCTTTTGCAGATGATTTATACCACGGCGTATACGCCGCGAGGAACCAACTCAGGGCTTGATCCTCTTTTGGTCGTAGGCTGAGGCAGATGGAGGATTTCTCGTCCAGGATCCTTCGAAGTCCGTCGTAGGCGATGACCGCCTGTCCAGCATCGATTGAGTCGTCTGTCGGTGACGTTGCCGGATCGGCAAACACGGTGAAGTACAGATCAAATTCGTTGACGTATTTCAATCCTGTGTAGGGGTCGGGTCCAGCCATAATCTTGCCGATCTCCACCCCCACACGCTCTCTACTGATCTTCAAGCGGAGAGCCTCGTGGATGGTTTGATCTTTCATCGCCTCTTTCGCAGACGTCTCGATCTCGTACTGAAGTCGGCACGCGAACCGAATGAGACGGAGGACCCGTAGCGGATCGTCCTTGAATGTTTGATACGGTGCAAGAGGTGTCCGAATGATCTTGTTCTTCATGTCCTCGAGTCCTCGACGCGTAAAGTCTTCAACCTCTTGCGTGTCGAGGTTGTAGAAGAGGGCATTGACGGTGGCGTCTCGACGGAGCGCATCTTCCTCCGCAGTGCCGAATTCCACCTGTGGGTGGCGGTTGTGGTGGTTGTAGACCTCTTTCCTGAGGTTGACAAAGTCGACGTCGATGCCAAACATTCTCGTGGTGATGGTTTCCAGGTGTTTCGACTTGTCGGGATTCGCTGCGATCTTGTGGATGTCCTTGACCTGCGAGTTGAAGCCTTGTTGCGCGGCTTGTTCTTCGTATTTGGCCCCGTGCTTCTTGATGAAGGCCTGCAGAGCTTGACCAAACTCCCACCCTGTCATCGTACTCAGTGCCACGTCGATGTCGTGGCTCTGCACCCCGAGCAGTTTATCTCGGACCCAGCCTCCCGTCCACCTTAGCACGAGATCCTTCATTCCAGGGACAGATTTCATCTCCTCGCGGCAGTCGAGGAGGCATTGCCGGAACAATTTCTCCGCCGGTGTCAACGGCAGGTGGATGGTAGTCATATTTGATGAAGCCCTTATTTGGGAAGTGCTGCGGCGAAGGCTTGTAAGTCGATGGATGTTTATGAGGGGTCGAAAGGTCATAATAAGTGAGACCCAGGTCCAAGAGTTTGACGGATCTCAATCCAAGCGATAGCGTCCCATTTCACTTGACGGTGTTTGATCAAACAGGAGGAAAGATTGGTATGACCAGCATGAGTCACTCAAAGTGCAGGTGGGGAGGTCTAGCCTGACAGATACAACACCAAATGTATGCGTTGTATCGAATCACCAATACACTGTTGGGACATGCGTTTGAGACTGCTCTCCCATCGCTGGCCTACAACACCATTCGATGTGGTTGATACTTGATTTTTACCAGAGTGCCAGGCTAAACATCAGCCTCGCCAGCCCACTTTGTTTGACACCGGAATATAGTTTCACCGGATCTCGATGTCAACCTCGGCCATTGTCGGCTTTCACGAGTGAACAAGGTGCTGTAGTGCCATCCATTTACAGCGAAGTCAAGCCGTAACTTGTGCCCGCTTGATCTGAAGCTTTGTGGTAACTTGTTTCCCAAGACTTGCTCTATGCTCGAGTAACGCTGGCCCTTTGCAGCAGAGAAACACACGATGCTTGTGATCGGTCTCACAGGCTCGATCGCAACGGGCAAATCCACCTGCGCCCAGATCTTGTCCTCCCCTCCGCACTCGCTGCCCTTGGTTGACGCCGACCTGCTCGCACGAAAGGCCGTGGAACCGGGCACATGGGGATACCGGCGCATAGTCGCGACCTTTGGTCCCACCACACCCGACCTCCTCCTCCCCGCCTCGGATCCCCAGTGCGGTGGAAATGAAGACGGGCCGAACGGGAAGGGAAGACCGCTGAACAGACCTGCGCTGGGGAGAAGGGTTTTTGGCAACACAGAGGAGAGGATACGCGACCGGAAGAAGCTGAACGCCATCGTCCACCCCGCGGTGCGGTTCCTGATGGCCCGCGCAATGCTGTACTACTATTTCCGCGGGTACTGGGCCGTCCTGGTCGACGTGCCCCTCCTGTTCGAGTCCGGCCTGGACATCTTCTGCAGCACCGTCATCGTCGTCGCCGTGTCGGACCCGGCGATCCAGATGCAACGCCTCCGAGAACGCGACCCGCATCTCTCGCCCGAGGACGCCGAGAACAGAGTCAAAAGCCAGGTGGACGTGCGGGAGAAAGCTGCACGGTGCGAACGTCGAAACAACGGCAAGCCGAACGCGGGCAAAGGCTACGTTCTCTACAACGACGGCGATAAGGACGATCTCAAGCTCCAGATCGCGGACGTCATGGCGAAGATCAAGTCGCAGAGTCCGCGGTGGTGGAGTCTCCTACTCCTCGTCTGCCCGCCTCTCATGGCCACAGTCGCTTCCTGGGAAGTCCTTTGGAGCTGGTACGCGCGGCGAAAGACCATCAAGGAGAGAGGTGAAGAAATGGCCAAGCCGAAATGAAAGAGAAAAAGAAAAATTGACGACGAAATGTTAAACAAGTGCTCATACTACTAGAATTTTATAAAGAGAAAATCGGTTTTCGCTCAAGTGGGCTGATTCTGACCCTGGACATGGGAAACCAATTTATACCCCCTTTCGAGTTTCAAAGATGGACCGATATCAAAGAATCTTTTCTATGACGAGAGGTTCATACACACGGATGTTTAGGCGTGGGTCCGTGTTAATTGGAGATGAACATTTGGCGAGAAGTAATTGTGATATCACTCGATACCACGAGTTGAGTTGTCGAAGGGACGAGGCTGGGCAAGGCTGTGGCCGCCGTCCACAAAACCTCTCTTCGACATGCTGCTATGCCGCTCCGTGCGTGACGAATCCACTTGCAGTGCTGAGATCAGACATCTCAATGCCCCTTGACCAGGTTCATCTACTGCTATCTGCTGTCTTCCTCGAGCATCACATCAGAATTGGGGGCTGGTCTCTACTTCTACAATTCAAGTCGATACTTCTCTAGTCCCTTCTCTCGTTTGGAGATTTTCGTAGACACGCTTCGAAAAAGGCCAATGGGTAGTGTTGTGAATGAATTTGTATTGAACCAGCATAATTCAAAGAATAGACTGTCATACTTCTACTGAGATGGCTTCCATCCCATCTCCGTTGCTCGTCCTTGCCACCTTTTCTTCTCCGCTTCAATGGTTGCCAACTTCTTCTCCAGCTCTCGTATCTTGTCAAGCTTGTTTTGGCGATGTTTTCGAGAATTGATCGTGTTACGTATCCGCTGAGCCCCTTTCTTGTCGGCCATGTCAACGAAATGGATTTGTGGTCCGTATTTCGTCGTCGCACTCGCCACGCCTTTTGAAGACAGACGAGCGTCAGGTGCACTAGATGGAGTGCAGGCCATCGACTTTGGTGTTCCGATCGAGTTGTTTGCATCCGAAGCCCCGCAGAAACCGATATCCGGTGTCATAGGAGAGGACTTGGTGCTGAGATCACAAGGACTAGGGATTGAGATTGTGGTGCATCCAGGCATAAATTGGCTGCTGGGTGCTCCTGGGCACGGGATATCCCCTGGGAAAGAAACCGCGAATGGGTTGGCAAAGAAGCTCTCTGGGAAATTCAGAGGCACATTGCCCACCAAGTCGGACGGATCCTCCCTCGGAGGCGCCACCTCCCCAACTGAAAGAGGAGGAGCAGTCTCGCCCATATGGTGCGTGGCATCCTTCAGAATCTGATATGTATCTTCATCGCGGCAGGCGTCGCCGATGCATTCATCAGAGACGTCAAGATTGTCCCACCCGAGCGCCGAAGAGTTATCATCGTTGCCGATGGGACAGTTGTAATATTGTGATTGAACATTTCGCTGGCCATCATTGATAGCCAGAGGATAGGACCGTACGTAATTATTCTGTGAAACCGGAGACTCCCACTCGTGCCATTGATGGTTCTTATGGCGGGTAGAGTGAGACGAGTTGACGGGTAGGTTGTGTAGTAACGGTAACAACCATGGTGAACAACTGTCCAAGGTGACCCCCGGTCAGGACAGGTGGAAGTGTGATAGACGCCTTGCTGTTCTTTTGCCTGGTAGCAAGGCAGGAAGGGGAGAGGGGACGGGTATGGGAAGGGAAGAGAGAGAAGAAAGAGGGAAGTGGGATGAAAGCATTGAAAAACCACTTTGAGCTTGTCGTCGTCCGAGGCGGATGAATCTAGACCCAACGAGGTAACTGGGACGGGCGGCTCGGTCTGACAGCAGCAAAGTCAAATGCACCACCCAATGACACGGCAGCTTCATTGTCTTGGGTGCCCCAATAATCGATTCAAGACTTTCTGTCTGACAAGCAGCATTTTCTTGGTCAGCGGACAAATGACTCACTCTTCCACCATCACGTTACAGTGAACAACGCTGCGCCTCGCTCTGTCCGACCAAATGGTGTAACCTGCTGCCTTTCATCGAACCGATTCGATTCAGAGGACCGAGGTGCCAATTCTAGAAGCCACTTCCCCTTTTCGCTCGCTGCTCGGACATACCAAGTGCAAGGACGGATACAAATCATGTATCAAGAGAGAGTTTCTTCCGCCTCTGTTTCCTTCCCCACATCATCAATGGCCGGACAGACTTCCAGATACCATAAACGTACAGAGGGACAGGACCGGGATGTTGCTGTCGGTCGTCTCCTGTTCTTACCACTTGCCTGAACGGTACTCAGTACAATTTCAACGACAGTGACAGAGTTATTCGATGGTCGACGACAACTTCAGAATCAACACGACAAGCATCTTTAAAAGGGAGCATAACCTCCTCCAGCTGTTGGAGAGTTCTTCGTGAACAGTCCAGCAGCAGTGATGACGAACGTTTATATCGATTGTCCAGCCGACATCGTTTGACTTCCCTCGTGAAAATCACAAGTTTTGCCGATCTGAGCTCTGGTTTTTGCTTCACTACCGGTTTCTGTTTTGTTTTCTTAATGAATAGACCCTCGAGCTGTTGGGAATCCTGGGGATGAAGAGTTAGGTCGAGAAATGGTGGGCTGAATCGGTGTCCCGGCGAAGAAACCATACATGCTTGGTGGCTTGTGATATGTGCCATGGTATTAGATGTATACTGTATCTGCTTGGAGATTCTCTAGAATTTGAGTCTATTTTCCATCCGGGTTGCTCCCAAGTACCCTCTATCCACCACGCTATGCAAACATGTCAAGGATTGGACAGCTCAATATGAGCCTGTTGAATAGATTTGAATCATGCAGGGCCCGACTGCTCACGAACCGCAAGTCATGTCGATGAGAGGGTCGTAGTTAGAGTCGACCACAGCAAAGCTAGGCGAGGCAGTGAAGTCGTCGACATCGTAAAAGAAGTAGTTAAGGCTACTGAAGCTTGCACACGAAACTTGCCACCAGAACGTTTGCAGACTGTCGACCGAGGGAACTGCACTGCCAACAGCGTCGCCAGAAATTGGCCAGCCCGTCTCAGTAGTCCACACATCGCGACCTCCTGCGACCGCTCGCACTTGGTTGACTGCAGCCCAGTATGCGTCACTAGCAGCACCATTGTCGATGCCAACGCCCTGCCAGTAGGGATATGCATCGTTTCCGAGCCAGTCAACGGCTTCGATCACTGCCGTGTTGGCAGGGTCTACCCACGCGGTCCAGGTATCAACATGTCCAACAGACTTGCTGCTAGCTCCAAGACCCCAGAGCATACCGCGAACATCGTTGATCTGTGACGCCAGGGTATTTGCGTCCGTGTCGCCCCGGTATAGGTCTTCAGAGCCCACCGATACGGCCAAGATCCAATCGTGTCCGTATTGTTGAATGGCTTCCAATAATGCTTGTTTTTCTGCCTCGTAATGGGTATTGTCTTCGGTCCAGACGCCAACAAGCAGCGAGGTACCAGTTTTGATGGCGGCAGGGACCGCGTTGGCTAGGGTATTGCAGTCGCTGGAAGCGTACAGTCGGGCGCTCTTGAAGTTTCCCGGAAAGCTAGCGATCTTGTTGAAGACAAATTCCCAATCTGACTCGCTCCGACAGGCGCCATTGGCGAGATTGGCCCCGATATTGAATCCTTTGTAGTATGCCTCAGCTCCGGTGACGGCGGCAGCCGTGAGAGCAAATAGTTGACTTGTCTTCATCTTCAATGAGAAACCGTGTAAGAGGACTATTGTACCCAGGAGCAACCGAATAGAATTATGCGAGCAAAAGAACAAACGAATGACTATGACTACTGAAGCAGCCAAACGAAGGGGCTTTTGAAGGAGGTTAAACGAGTGACATGAACGACGAGGTTGAAGAAGAGGACGAAAAGTGCAATCCAGCAACAATATTATGTACCTCGACGACAGACACAAGATCCAAAATATTCAAGGTTAGCCCTTGCAACCAACGAGACATTGACCGGGGCTGCTATCCGCCATCTACCATGGTGGAGAATTGAAGCCTGAAAGAACCAAAAAGGGGCGCTATATCCGCCGGCCGACAGCCACTGACCCATCGATCCGGGGCAGGATCAGCGTACGTTGCTTGTGGCTGTACCTGCCTTAGCGCAGCCTGAGAGATTGAATGGGCCTGCTCGTTGACGAATGGGTTCCAGATTCTAGGGTGTCTTGCCAAGGGTGGCCCACGAAAACAGAGACATTTATTTCCAGCCTCGGGCAATTAGAGGTGCTCGTATTCGTGGACTCGAAGATGCAGTCTCGCCTAGGTCTTGTGATGAAGAGAGGAATGAATCGAAGTGCTGTTTAGAGGCAGAGGTCTCGTCCCAAGGACACCAACTACGGCTCGTCGGGCCAAGGTCCGGCAAGACAAGTGGGCGTTCGCCTCCCGTTGCCTCTAAACTTGAATGGGTCTAACCCCTGACATGGTGCCCTGAAATGAAGACCCCACGACCCAAAATCCTTCTTGACCCCAGTTCAATCTGCCGAAAGAGCGCAATCAGAGAGTTGATGACAAGGCCGGACCTGCACATATTCTGACGAGGCAAGAAGCAAGAGAACACAAGGAGACCTCCCCTATCAGTATGACCTAGTGGGGACACTGTACGAGTGATATTGAACCGTGTTGCGCCTACCATGCGATGGCAGTTCGCAGGCAACGGCTGGTGCTCGTGGTGGCTGTTGCGTGCACTCTGTTCTTCCTCCTCCTGCATCTTCGTGGATCAGCCTTAGACGCTCTGCCCAGGGTATCGTTTGGGACTGAAGGAGTCCATCCTCATCGCCCATTGAAGCCCGGGAAGGGACATCTGATCAACCCCATTGCCAGCTTTATTCCTCTTCCGACAGGGGTTCAAATTCTCCCCAAAATCCAACATGAGTTCAAGGCCGAGGACGGGCTTGCTAGAGAGTCTCGACTGGCTCGTCTAGAGGCTATCAGAGAGGCTATGGTGCACTCGTGGAAAGGATATCGAGAGAGGGCGTGGCTGCAAGATGAGCTGGCGCCAGTCACGGGAGGTTATAGGAGGTCTTTCGGGGATTGGTCTTTGACGCTGGTAGATGCTTTAGACACGCTCTGGCT